GGACAGTGGGTCGAGGTTGAGAGAAATAGGACAGTGGGTCGAGGTTAGGGAGGTTGAGGTAGATAGGGCGGTGGGACGAAGTTGAGAAGGTTGAGGGAAATAGGACAGTGGGTCGAGGTTAGGAAAGTTGGGGGAGATAGGGCGGTGGGTCGAGGTTAGGAAAGTTGGGAGAGATAGGGCGGTGGGTCGAGGATAGGAAGATTGAGGGAGGTGGGTCGAGGATAGAAAAGTTGGGGTAGATAGGTCGAGGTTAGGAAGGTTGGGGGAAATAGGACAGAGGGTCGAGGTTAGGAAGGTTGGGGGATATAGGGCGGTGGGTCGAGGATAGGAAAGTGAAGAAAGGTAGGGAAGTTGGTCGAGGATTAGAGTTGGGATGACTGTACAACGTCACTGGCTCTAAAGTCTAAACCAGAGGTCGGCAAACTTTTGTCGTTCGCGGGCCAAAATTAAAGGTTGCAACGTCATTGGCGGGCCGCACGTATTATTAGAAAGTTAAAAACCGAAGGAAAGGCCAATGACTCACATTTTTCACCCAGATTTCAGTTAAATTTCAAGCAGTGCGCGAAGACTGATCATTCGAATATTTTCAGCGTCATTAAACCATTTGTGCTCAGCATCAACTTTTTTACGTTCTGTTGACATTTGTCTAATTATAATCAATTATAAGCTTATTTAACGAGTGATTGTGAATAATATACTTGTTAGGTTATAACATAACTTAGTTTTTTATCAAAATAAATTAAAGACTATAATCGTCAATAAAACTGTTGTGTTAATATAATTCAGTGAAGCTTCGCGGGCCGGATCCTGGCGACCTCTAGTCTAAACCATTCAATGAAAGTCGGATCATTTCAATGTGTCGGTCGGTATTTGTTCCATCACTGCATCTAGAAATCACGAATTTGATAAAAAGGTAACAAATATAGTTGGCTTCATAACTGCAAACTCTCCCTTAACAACGAAACACCGCGATAATCCTAAGTGCTGAAAGAGCAACTCAAAATACGATTTCCATCCATTCATTGCTAGTAGACGGTTTGGCAAGTATTTCATGTTTGCCGTAGTATATTAGTCAACTCAAAAGCGAGCAACGATGAACACAATTAAATTGATATGACAAGACATTTTAAATTCTCGGGATTGAATTGAATTGAAAATCTCGTTATCCGCTGAAAAAGACGTTTTTTAAGAAGTGGTCTAATCGTGATGAGTGTTGCTCGGTAATTTTGTATTCTGAACCCCCCTCCCTTTTAGAAAACCCGATCTCACATAAATGCAAAAATGCCTGTAAAGATTTTTTGCAATGCCGGGGTATTCAGATAGCAGTATTGCCCAAAAGATTGCCAAAGTAGCTACCCTATAAATCGCAGACTCTTTTCAACTTCTTATTGTTTGAAATTTCAATCAATTAAAGATGTTATTAGGACATTGTCCTTCTTTTGCGTCACATTTCTGCGGCCCGGCGTCTATTCGTACTTTGGCGGGTCACGAATAAAACGCAGCGCGGGTCAGTGGTTCGCCATCCCTGGCCTAGTACAATTAATCTAGAAACTAGAATTCGGTTGGAAACCGATGACTTATCGATCGAAGGTTAGGGGATCCCCCAAAACAGTGGTCTTACTCCATGGTGACACCACGTGTCCCATCACTAATTAATTAATAACTCGCTAATTATACGACATAATCCATCCAAAATCAATAGACTTCTGATCCGATCTATGATGAGATTCAAACTCGCTTCCGTGAGATATCGCGTGCATCTAACAGACAGACAAACAAACAGACAAATACCTATCAACATACTCACCGATCTTAAGATCGTTAAGTAATTAGTCAGAGCAAAGTGTAAAACAATAACTTTAAAATACAACAGAAAGTTTCTTATATATATAAATATACATGTATACCGGCTGGCCATGTTCTGATAATTCAAATAATTCCGCAGACGCATTACAGTTTTCAGTCTAGTATGGCCATGCTTAATAAATAGATATGCTCTTTTTCATATACGACGCCTATATAAGGAGCTATTATTCATGAGAGGACAGAAATTTTTATGTTGTCACACTTAAGCAAATTCAAAATGTTTTTATATTACTCTGACCAAGTTTCAGTTCATTGTTATTTCTTATCGATCTTAAGATCGGTAAGTATGTCGATAGGTATTTGTCTGTTGGTTTGTTTGTATGTCTGTTAGATGAACGCGATATCTCACGAAGGCGAGGTTGAATCTGCTCCAAATTTTGCATGTGCATGCGTCATATCTCGGAGCAGAAGCCTATTGATTTTGGTTATGTCGTATAATTAGAGAGGTATTAATTAATTAGCGATCTTCGATCGATAAGTCTTCGGTCTCCGACCGATATTCTCGTTTCTTTATTTCAGGCGAATATTTTTAACTTTCTTTCAATTGTCGTTGGCTTTTATGCCGATGAGAAATCTTTTGGTACAACAGGACGCAGAATAGTAAAGAAGATATATTGCATGAGATGCAAAACTTTTTGAAGTAATCATAATTTTATTTTCGTCGCATAAATTTTAAAATTATTTTGGAATTTGAAAATGTATTTATCTACTGCCGTAAGACGTGTGGAGTTTATTTGACTTCCGTTTCATTTTTTTACTCCCCAACTTTTTTTAAATTAAAATAAATATTATTTTAATTTCAGATAATTCATGTCTTAAAGTTATGAGTTTGACAGAGAATATCAAAATTTGGGCATTAGGATAATACGATAGCAAAGGTTACCTCGCAGAACTGCAACTTAGACGGCCTACTGGTGAACTATTTTGATTGGTTGATCCCAAATGTCCGTGTGATCAAACAATTCACGTTCAAGAAAGTGAATACACCCTGTGATCGCAAATAACCTAATCGGGTAATGAAACTGCGATGAACGCCATAACGGGAAATTTTATTTTAAAAGGAAAGTATGCAAACAAGGTCACTTTATGACCAATTATTAGCCTTGTGTCGTGGCCCCCTTCAAACAGCTCCATGGCCCCCTAGGGGGCCTGCGGCCCCGGTTGAGTCCCACTGATATACCTTTGTTCAGCTCTGCCGGGATGCTAGTTTATTGTAAATGTCACAAACCTACATGATTATGACAGAAATTTAAAAGCCATTCAATGTTATGCATGCTGCTAATGGCATACCTTGGATTAAACAATGTCCTTCAAATATGGCTTGTATGCCGTTGTAGCCAAGATAGGAGTGAGTAGAGGATAAGAGTAAAGATGTGGCAACGCCATCTAGTTTCAGTTGAACATTCATAAAATCACACTTTCAAGTTTTTTATTTACAGAATGAAGGTCCAAAAATATTCAACTAAATTTTTCGATGAAACAACTCAATAAATCAAATTTTGACCAAAAAATATTATGGTTTTACTGTGATACGGCATAAATGAGATTCATATTGTATTGCAGATATTCCAAAAGGAGGCGCTTCCGAAGTATTCGTACCAAGATGACACACAACCTGAACCTGGTACACATACTATGATCAGGTTTTGCGACATCTTGGTACATATACTTCGGGAGCACCCAAAAGAATACTTTTCCTCCTACCTAGTGGTGGCAAATAGCCATTCCAGTGGTGTTTAAGTGTTATCAAGATTGGTAAATTCCAAATCCCATTCTGTTAAAACAATTCATGCCTAATAAATTGAAAACACCCCATAAAATAAGGAAACCTGTTTTTCTAAGGAAAAAGTAAAATGAGTTTTGCGACTAGCATTGTGGCCCGCCATTAACTGTGGTAGGTATACATTTGAAGTCGTCGTTTTCATTTATGGCAGGAATTACTTGAAGACCTATAGTGAGGGAGATGGACCTTGAAAAAGGGCAGCATAAAATTGTTCGATATGTTCACTGAAGCGTGAAGCAATTAAAATGCCAACAAAATATATTAAAGATAAACAATAAAAGTCTGATTATGAGAAAATATAGAAAAACGTCATTAAAATCACAAAAAAAAATTACAGTATCTGTTAGCAAATTCAAAAGATATTGATAAAGGGCAGCATGAAATATTTTGATTTGTTCATCGGAGCTTAAAAAATTACAGGATCTGATGCGTATGATTGCATGCAGACTTATTAGGAATCAATAAACTGAATAATATTGTAGAGCAGGGGTTCTTAAACGTTTAGGGCTGTTGGTCCCCTTTCAGAGGCTTTTAACACTCCCAGTTTATCATTCTAGCGCTATTTATAGCGTTATTACGATTGGTAGAATCTCATGTTCAAATAAAACACGCTAAACAAAGTTATAACGCCATGTGAAATAATTTTATCAAGCAATGAAACTAAGGAAAACGGGAAGTTTTTTTGTAAAAAGATAGTAAATCAGAATTGTGCCTAACATTGTGGCGCCCTCAACTGATCTGGGTGGCTCCGCTTGGAATCGCTGCTGTAGAATTTAGTTATACATTTGGATGTGGCAATTTATTTGACAAGAAATGAAAACACCAACAAAATATATTAAAAATAAACATTAAAAGTCAAATTATGGTAAAATAAAGAAAAACATCAGAAAATTCACCTAAAAATACAATATTTTCTAGCAGAATTAGAAGACAATGAGAAAGAGGGCAGAATAACATTTTTTGATAGGTTCAAAATAGCGTAGAAAAATTACATGACCTAATTAATGTGTATGCTTGTCTAGAGTTGTGGTAGAATACATCGAAAAATACTGTAAAGTTTAGTTATACTTTTGAAGTCTGCGATTTATTTAATAGACTTATCGGGTCGGGTCGGGTATACAAACGAATCAAATCATTTCATGCAGTCCACTTTCTCAAAGTCTGAAAATGTCATTGTTCTTGAATATTTTTCTGGTTAATTTTCTGTATTTTCTCATAATCAAACTTTTATTGTTTATTTTAATATATTTCATTGGCATTTTCATTGTTTCACGCTCTGGTGAATATATCGCAAAGCTTTATGCTGCTCGCTTTCTAAATGTTCATGTCCCTCAGTATAGTATAGTTACAGTATAGAAAAATTACATGACCTAATTAATGTGTATGTTTGCCTAGAGCTGTGGTAGAATACATCGAAAAATACTGTAAAGTTTAGTTATACTTTTGAAGTCTGCGATTTATTTAATAGGACTATACTATACTGAGGGCATGAACATTTAGAAAGCGAGCAGCATAAAGCTTTGAGATATATTCACCGGAGCGTGAAACAATGAAAATGCCAATGAAATATATTAAAATAAACTATAAAAGTCTGATAATGAGAAAATATAGGAAAACGTCAGAAAAACACAATTTTTTGTAGCAAAAGTATAAGACACTGAGAAAGGGCAGCATGCGTATGATTGAAGCCAATACATTGAAGAATAGAGTTTTGCCGTACCTTGAGTCGGCAATTTATTTGACAGCATTAATTACCTAAAGACCTATAGTGACAGCAGGGAGAAATGGCAGCAGGAGCATGTCAACAAAATATATTAAAAATGAACAATAAAAGTTTGATTATGAGAAAATACAGAAAATTAACCAGAAAAATATTCAAGAACAATGACATTTTCAGACTTTGAGAAAGTGGACTGCATGGAATGATTTGATTCGTTTGTATACCCGACACAGACTGATAACTGAATAAGAAGTAGCCATGTGAGTAAGCCATTCTCATTTACCCCCTCCAAGATAAATTCAAATATTGTAACTCTAAAAGGTTGATAAAGTAACCAGCGTAAGTTCTTTACACAAAGTAGAGTGAAATTGAAATAAAAGTTTGATTCCTAAATATATGGAAGAAAAAATTATGAACATGTACAGTTCTCGACGAAAACTTTAACATTTATGAGACATTACTTTAGTCCACGCGACACCAAATTTACCTCGTTGGCTGCCGGTCATGACATGGCTAAGTATATTAATGCTTCAGCAAAAAGATCTATATTGCCCGTCCACTTTAACAAAATTACACAATCTTATGCACCCTCTGTGAGGAATGCCCAAGTTGTCAATATGGCTGTTCACTAGCAATCACTAAAAACCATGTGGTGACTATTAAAAAATAACATAACCGGGGGTGAAAAATGAGCGCCAAGAAATGAAGAGAAATTTTGGTTAGGGTTGAAATATTAAAAAACTCAAAAGTAACAAAATATTTCACTCAATATCAATAAAAAATAAAAATTTGATTATGTGTAACAAAACAAATACAACTCAATAAAAGTTAATTCGAACCAGGGCTGGGAAGTCAAGAGTTTGATGTATTTTTGCTGGTATTAGAGACGCAGCCGTGCGTTGAAATTATCCGAGTGAGAATTTCAGAATCGAAAGCTGAGAATTTATATTTCTAGCTGAGTTCGAGTCAAATTGTTCAGTCAAATTTTTCTGTTCAATCAAATTTGAATTCAGAATCCTACTCAAATATTTCTGATATCTGTTTTTGAACGATACGATAGGACTACAGGTTACTTTGTGATGAAACAACAAGAGAACAATGACCAATTGTGAGGGCACGGAGGTTGTGTAGACTATGTTTGCTGAATAGAACAATTGATTGCCAAAAAAAATTTCAAATCTATTTTTTTTCAAATCAAATTCAGAATCTAATTGGCGAATACGCATGACGGAGTCGGTCAAGCAAGATGGAATAAAAAGTGTTCTGCTCTGAATAAAACAGCAAAATCTTTGGTGAAATACCAGACCAAATAAAAGTAATTGCTTTTCAACGATTTCAACCACACCGTAAATTACTTAACAGTCAGTCGGTCTAGCAGGATAGAATAAAAGATTTTTTTGTTTTAAATAAAGAAGCAAAGTTTTAATGGAATATCGGGACAAATAGGAAGTTGAAAAAATAAATTGCCGTTCGGCAGCTCCAACCATCTTAAAGTACTTAAAATTTGAAAAGCATTACTTGAAGCAATATTTATCAAGACAACTTTATTTGATAGAACCAAAGATTACATATTGTGATTAAATACAAAGAAATCAATGCTCGAATACATGAACACAAAAGTGGACTTATCGAAAGATGAGCTTGCTTAAAGACTAGACGACAACCTAATCGTGATTTGAGCCCTTGGATTTAAAATTCTGAAACTAACATCCCTAGCCCGAAGTCACAATAACAGCGATTTCAATAAAGAAAAAAAATCAAAATTTGTCCGATTAATAGAAAAATAGTAAAAAAGATGAATCACTAAGTTCACTTCAAAATCAATCCTCGAAAAATTTTCATCGATCATTGATAATCACTAAAACAGACTTTAGATAACGATTTTTATTTCGAGAAGTCCGTGGTTTGAATATACAGCAGTGCTGAGGGGTTGGGGCATATTTTATAGTCAGATCTAACTGGAAATCTGTATTCTAAGAATCGAAGTGCTGGAATTTTCAAGTGAAATATTAAAATACTCGCAAATAGCAGTTTTCTGATCTAATGTGTATGCTTGTCCAAAGACTTGTTAGACGCCAATACATCGAAGAATATTGTAGAAGTGGTTCCCAACCATTTGGGGCTTGTGACCTCATTCCAGTGTTATTTTGATTGGTAGATTCCACTATGTTTACATATTTCATGCAATCTTATCAAGCAAGGAAACACAGGTGTTACTTTTGTAAAGGGGAAAATAAGATGAGCTTAGCGGCTGGCATTATAGACTTAAAGGGCAATGGACTCCCGGTTTTGAACCACTGCTGTAGAGTTTAGTTATACATCTGAAGACGGTGTTTTATTTAATAAATGAATTACTTGAAGACTTATAGTGAGGGAGATGGACCTTAAGAAATGGCAGCATGAATTTTTTTGATATGTTCACTGGAGCGTGAAACAATGAAAATGTTAACAAAATATATTAAAAATAAACAATAAAAATCTGATTATGAGAAATAAAGAAAACATCAAAAACATTAGCAAAGACATTGAGGCTTTTAACACTCCCCCCAGCTTATCATTCTAGTGGTATTTTAGTGTTATTACCATCGGTAGAATCCGAATCTCATTATGTTCAAGCAATACATGCTCAACAAAGTGAAAACACTCTGTGAAATAACCTTATCAAGCAATGAAACTAGAAAGAACTGGGAGTACTTCTTTCAGTTTTGCACCCAACATTGTGAATGTGGCCCCATCCAACTGATTTGGGTGGCCCCCAGCTTGGAACCATTGCTGTAGATAGAGTTTAGGTATAAATTCGAAGTTTAATTTACGGCAGGAATTACTTAAGACCTACACTGAGGGAGATAGACTTTGAGAAAGGGCAGCATAAATTTATGTGTTCACTGGAGCGTTAAACAATGAAAATGTCAACAAAATATATTAAAAATAAGCAATAAAAATCTGATTATGAGAAAATATAGAAAAACTTCAAAAAAAAAACATAACAATAAGGCATTGAGGAAGGCATTTATTCGAATTGTTCACTTAAGCAAGAAATAATGCATGACGGCATAAAGTGCATTCATATGGAATGAAAAATCATTTGGTTGTTTGTATGCGAGTAGAGTACAATTGAGATAAAAGAGCCTGATTACAGATGAACATATTCTGTTCTCAATGATAAATTTAACATTTATTTGGTTCACGCGACGCCAAATTTGAAAATCAATTGTTACCGATATTTGATAAGGCCAACATTAAAACTAACAAAAATAATTTACCAAAACATCTTTATAGCCCGGTCCCTTTAACAAAATTACACAATCTTATGTACCCTCTAGTGACAAACTGTGACTCAGAGAATTGCTCAAGTTGTCTATATCAGGGGTGCACAACACGGGCCACGCGTGCCAAATTTGGCACGCCATACGCTCAAACATGGCACGCGAACTGTTTTGTGAAAAAAAAAAATTATCCATGATATACATTAAAATATCACGTTTATATCAAAATCAGCAGTTTTTCAGTAGATCAAATTGTTTCAATAAATAGATATTCGTTATTATGTAATATTATTGAAATTTGTTTGTTTTATGGGAGGTAATGTCCAATACCAATGATTGTGCGCGGCACGCGACAAGATTATTTTGAAAAATTTGGCACGTGTCCTCATTTGAGTTGTGCACCCCTGGTCTATATGACTGTTCATCAGCAATCACTGAAATCCATGTGGTGGGGCAACTATTGAAAATTAGCATAACCGGGGGTGAAAAACGAGCCTAAAGAAATCTGGAGAAATTTTAGTTACGGTTGAAATATTAAAGAAGAGCTCAAAATGAACAAAATATTTCACTTAATATCAATAAAAATATGTGAAATAACACAAATACACTAAATAAATGTTGAACCAGGGCTGTGAAGTTAAGAGTTTGATGTTTATTCGTCGGTATTAGAGACGCAGTCATGCGTTAAAATTATTTGGAGTGTGAATTTCAGAGTCTAAAGTTGAGAATTGAAATTTCTAGCTGAGTTCGAGTCGGATTGTTCAGCCAAAGCCTTGCTAGAGTCAAAAATTTTGCCGATCAGGTTGAGAGAATGTTATTTCAGTTATTTAGAATCGAATGGAATTTTTCACTGAGTTTACAGCACACGGAATTAGGTGCACGCAGAAAAAAAACACAAAAATCTGGCAAGAATACAAAAACATGTGAAAATATAGAAAATGCAAATCGTTAGGTTATTTTAAGTTTCATTCTATTAAAATCTCAGTCAGGTATTGTTTGGTCATGGTTGAATTATTCTGGAAATCACAGGGTTTAAATGAACAGTATATTTCACACAATATCAATAAAAAATTTTAATGTGATTACATGAAATAAAACAATAAATACACGCCTCCCTGTATTTTTTTTCAAATAAATTTACTTAAAACGGGGTTTCGAAAATTACTGAATTCCATAGAAATAGTTTTCTAAAGGATGAATTCTCAAATACATGGATGCAAAAAAATATGTTAAGAGCCTAATTACGCATGAACATATCCTGTTCTCCATGATAACTTTAACATTTATGAGACATTTATTTTGTCTATGCGACGCCAAATCCACCTTGTTGGCTGCCGGACATGGAGCCTAATTACGCATGAACATATCCTGTTCTCCATGATAACTTTAACATTTATGAGACATTTATTTTGTCTATGCGACGCCAAATCCACCTTGTTGGCTGCCGGACATGACTTGCACAAGCTAATTGCTTTGCTTCAGATAACTGCTGAGACCAACATTAAAACTAATAAAAACTATCTATATGGCCCTGTCCCTTTAAAAAAACTACACAATCTTATGCACCCTCTAGTGACAGACTGTGCTCATAGGAAATGGCTGTTCATCAGCAATCACTGAAAACAATGTGGTGGGGCAACTATTAGAAATTTGCATAACTTGGGGCTGAAAAATGAGCCTGAAGAAATCTGGAAAAGTTTTGGTTACAGTTGAAATATTCAAGAAGAGCCCAAAATGAAAAAACTATTTCACTCAATATCAATAAAAATATGTGAAATAACATAAATACACTCAATAAAAAGCAAACAGGGCTGTGAAGTCAAGAGTTTGATGTTTATTGCTGAGACGCATTAGAGACGCGACCCTGCGTTAAAATTAACCGAGTCAGAATTTCAAAGTCTAAAATTAAGAATTGAAATTTCTAGCTGAGATCGAGTCGGATTGTTCAGCCAAAGTCTTGCCAGAGTCGAAAGCTTAACCGACCAGGTCGAGAGAATGTTATTTAGTTATTCAGAATCGAAAGGAACTTTTCACAAGTTCACAGATCACGGAGATGCATGCACGCAGAAATAAATAACAATAATCAGCAGCAATACAAGAGGTTTGAAAATATAAAAAATGTAAATCGTAATATTATTTAAAGTTTCATTCTACTAAAATCTCAAAGTCAGTTAGTGTTTGGTCATGGTTGAAATATTCTGTAAATTACAGAGCTCAAAATGAACAATATATTTCACAAAATATCAATAAAAAATTGAAAATGCGATTACATGAAATAAAACAAGAACAACACTACTCTCTGTATTTTTTTTTTAATTTTTTTTTTTGAATAAATCTATTTAAAACAGTTTTTTTTTTAAATTACTGAATTCTACAAGAAAAAAAGTTTTCTGCCTCATTAGATCTGAACTTATTCTATGTCAGTGATTCCCAACCTTGGGGTCGCGACCCATAAGGAGTTGTTTTGTACTATCTCCTAGAATAATAATCTTAATATTATTTCGTTCGTAGGACTGGTTTTATCTACATTTTGTAAATATTGTGAAAGGGGGCATATATTAGAAATTATTCAGAAGGTGTGGCTCAAAAAAGGTTGGGAATCACCATTTTATGCAGTTTCATCATAAACAGATGGGGTAACGGCTGCCGTATCATCGTATATGGGCGAGGCAGTAATATTTTCTGGCGGGACAAAACCGGGCTCGTCATAAACGCTTTCGTGACTTGGATTTTGATGAGAAGTGTCGGGGTTTGAGGATACAGTAGGAAGATTTGTTTGGGGGTTGGGTGGGTTTCTGCGTGGTGTCACCCTTGCGTTATCACACATGGGAGGGGCAGGTATGTTTTCTGGGGGTGTGTCTGGATTTGTTCTGTCATCAGAACTCCTAACTTGACAAGAAATGCTAGGATTTAAGCGGATCATAAGTGAAACCTGTACTTCAGAATTTGGAAGCGGCGTGAACTGAAGGTTGGGTGTGGCTGTGGAAGTTGGCACGCCAACATTCTCATGCATGGTGATAGGCGGGGCAGTAATATTTTCTGGTGGGGCGTAATCGGGCTCGGTATAAACACTTTCGACGCTTGGTTTTTGACAGGAAGTGCCGGGGTTTGAGGGGACAGGGGGATCCATAGGCAGATTAGCTTGAGGGTTGGGTGGGGATCTTGAAGGCAGCACGCTATCATACATGGGAGGGGGTATAGGAGGAGGAGTAATATCCTCTGGGACAATATAATCAGGATCTTGTGGATCAGCGTATGCTTCCTCTATACTCGGTATTTGAACAGATACGTTGGGGTTTGGCATGGGTGAGAGATAACCTTCTTCATCTACCGGTTCGTGAATCTCTTCGTACACATGAGTTGGGGTCGACATTGCAATATTTACTTCCTGGCCTTGTTGTCTGTAAAAAAGACAAGTCGTTAGTTCGAAAATGGAGGAAAGGGAGAATTTACTTATTTTTGGGGGGAGAGGGGGTCGAACTTGAAGATTCGAATCCTCCTTTGGTATTCTATTTTGCACATCCCTAGGTCGAAGTTATAAAATAATTCATTTCACCTGTTTTTCCAATAAATTGCGGCTGCAATCACTAACAATACTGCTATCACACATCCAACTATTATCAAAATCGTTGTGAGAGAGTTATTGCTGGAGTCTGAATCAGTGGAGATGGGGTTAGAGGTCGTCTGATTGGGTTTGTTTGTCCGGGTAGATGGTGTATTGGTAGTTTGGATGGGTTTGTTAGCCTGGGTAGATGGTGTATTAGTAGTTTGGCTGGGTTCGTTTGCCTGGGTAGATGGCGCATTAGTAGTTTGGCTGGGTTTGTTTGCCTGGGTAGTTGGTGCATTGGTAGTTTGGCTGGGTTTGTTTGCCTGGGTAGTTGGTGCATCAGTAGTTTGGCTGGGTATGTATGCCTGGGTAGTTGGTGCATCAGTAGTTTGGCTGGGTTTGTTTGCCTGGGTAGTTGGTGCAATATGATTGGTTGGACGTAGGGGTGTGGTCACGGATTGGCTGGAAGTCTGTAGGGGTGTGGTAGTTGGTGGTTCAATTCTTTTTCCTGAAATATAGAATGAAAATATATTATTGGACTAGTTCTCACATATCGGCCGATGAACACACACAAATGGAGCCAAATAAATAAACACGATAGCTTTGCAAGAGTTAGTATGTTCAAATTCTTTCTCATTTACTTCTATAAAATATTCAGAGCAGTGAGTCAAGTTTGCCAGGATTTCACGGAAGTCGGAGGTAGGAATTCCAAACGCTCAATTGTGAAGAAATCAGAATTGTATAGAAACTCAGAAATGAATGATGAGGATTCCTAAAGGGGGATTGATTTTACTGAAAGTTCTTATAAGGAGGTCTGCATTTTAACAAATTTGATTTTCTTGCAAGTTTTCCAGACTCCACACCGAGAATGATGACTGTTACGTATGCATTAGGAATGGACAAAAACAAATAACATATATTCTTGAGTAGCATTTCAAATATTGAACATATTCTGAAGAAAGCCTATAAGTGCTCAACACAAATCACATTGAGATGAGACTTATTTTATAAATTCGAAAAAGTTGTAATGAAGTGAGGAGTAAACTGGCGATATTCGGATCCTTCCACAGAAGGAGGAACTAATCAGTACTTAGAGCCTCATTCAGAGAGATTTTGCAAACTCCAGATAAGAAATAGTTTCACCTGTTTTACAATCGAAGTATCCGTAAGTTAATTTGAATTGATATTTAGAAGGCAGGCATTCATACCAAACCCATATCTTTTCTACATAGAACCAGTTTACAGTCATACATGTTGTATTAAATGCATTCAAGCAATTACCAGATCCGCTGTATATCCAACATCTCTGTTCAGTGTTGGGTGTAAATGTGAGGGTGGATAGGAGGAAAACTGTAACAAAGTATGTTGAGATAAACAAACTGACCATAGATGGCATTATGAGTTACATCTACTCTGTTTTATATTCAGCTTGAGATTTATAGAATCATTTAGACAAATCAGTTTTATTATAATAGCTGAGCAATTATTTCTATGAACAAGGCCATTCATCTTGTGCTATACAAAATTCAGCAATTATATTTACAGAATTATCTTAACAGTCACTGGTCAACATATAACAATTTGAAGCCATAATCTACGACCGAATGTTCATAGTGTCCAGAGTAAGCTATTAGTTTGTTATTGAACTTCAATAAACCTTTTATACCTTATCTTTGTCACTTGTCAAGGTTTAATCTTTCGTCATGTTCATTTCACATATTTATGCCAAACGTTTTAATTTTGGCAATTTTTCCCAATTCCCTCATTTCATACCAAGGCTCATTAACTATGTCATAATGCGTATTGTTGTCATGACTGAGCTCGGAACAAACTATCTTATCTAACACCAAACCCCCATTGAGATCTGGGAAGGTCATATGCTAACTTATGTTATGAAATACTTACTTCCATATCCAGATCTGTAGCCATAAATTTCAATATCGAAACTTCCTCCCGAGTGTAATGTTGGCGTGAAATCCAATCTGAACATTGTCTGATCCATTTGGAGAGAAGAAACAAAAAATATCCACAGGTGTCCGCCCAATCACATTCATTTTTATTTGTTACAGACTGAATTTCTCCTTTCAAGTCAGATATCTCCGATCCACAACCTTGCATGTTCACCCATGAAATTCCTGAAATTAACAGAATGAGAGTCAAGTTGTTCTTGGAATAACCGGTAAGAGAATTCAAAAGCAAAAAACATTTTGAGAGATTTTGAATTTATATATTTTGCCGGATGAGAACAGAGCAGGCCTAAGTCACAATTTTGAGTTTTAAGAAAAACTCAAAAAAATAGTTTGGAATTTTTTCATTTTTGAATTTCTAGATATTCACACTTAGTAAAGACCTGAGCTGCGGTGATTTTAATTTGGAGAGTATATTTTCGTAATCAATATCTTTTGACACTTCCTTTCTGGTTTTTTATCCCCCATAAATGACTTTGGCCTATTCTGTTTTCAACAACTTGCAAATTTTTTTATATGGGATGCAAGGTAAAACAAGGTGTCTTACTCTTAGGCCTAAGTTGCACTGAACAAATTCTTAATAAAGATGTAAATTTCAGACATTGTATTTCTAGTTTCCATGCCGTTCATATTGGAACTTAGGCCTATTTTGTCCTTAACTTCTACAAAATATTATAGTCCCAAGTCCAGCTAAAATTTTGATTATTGAGAAATTCAGGATTTCAAGACCACCACCTTGTAGAGCATGGCTCAAAACCCTAAAATATTGAAAAAAGTGAATTTCCCATAAATGTGACTTGGGTGAATTTCTTTTGTTCTCATCGATTTATTCTGTTAGAATTCTTCATTCTATTTTGCAAAACTCTAAATAAGATATAGTTTCACCTGTTTTGCAATCGAAGTATTCGTAAGTGAATTTGAATTGATATTCAGAAGGCCGGCATTCGTACGAAACATATAGCTCATTTGAATTGGGCCAATGCACAGTCATGCATGTTGTATTTACTGCATTCGAGCAACTACGAGATCCGCTTAATATCAAACATTTCTGTTCAGTATTGGGTGTAAATGTGAGAATGGATGGGCTAATGGATTCATTCCCTGTAATAAAGTATGTTGAGATAAATAAACTGACCATAGATGGCGTTATAGGTTAGAACTATTGTGTTTTACATACGATTTATAGACCTGATGTTGTTTGATAAGTTAGTTGTACGAAATACAAAGTTACAGAATTATTTTGAGCAGTCACTGGTTAGATAATGTGCCAACATGTAACAGTTCCAAGCCAGATATACAACCAAATGTTCATTGTGTCCAGAGTAATTATTTTGTTATTGAGCTTCAATAAACCTTTTATAACTCATCGATGGTGGCCTATCGTTGTCACGCGTAAAATTGAAAAAAAAAATAAAAAAAACTTAAAATAAAAGTAAAATAAAAAATAGTTGTGAAAGAACATGAAAAAAAAAAAAAAAATTAAATGCGAAAAAAAAATTAAAACGAAAATAAAATAAAAACGGAATAAAAAAGCGCGAAAAAAAATTGAAAAAAAAAAACGTGAATAAAAAAAAATGAAAAGGTTGCAACGATGGGCCGCCCCGTGGCTATCGTTGTCACGCGTTTATATTTTAGAGAAAATTTGCTTCTGCTTGGGACCAACTATGTCATGCATAATCCTACGCGCACAAACAGTGTTCCCTGGGTTTCTAACTCACTACTGATTTTCTTGAGCAATATTCAATAAATTTGAGAAGGAAATGTTCTATAAATTCTCCATGCTACAAGTTCAACTAGAAGTAATACATTTATAACAATGATAAGAGAATATAGATTTGAGTACGAATATTTGTGAAATTTGTTTTTACGTGTAGAAGATAATTGAATTGGAGAATGCTGCTCAACTGCCCGGACACTCTTGCAACACCGGTACTGTCTGTACCCATGCAATCACTCATGAAACGAATGGGATAGGATTTACATATTTATCCCGGGGGAGAGGAAAGCCGACAAGACGGCTTATCCATATGGCGAACCACGGCCTCTCGTCCGGTTACCAGTCTCAGTCGGGTATGGGATTAGTTATATTGTTTGTTTTCGGAAGCATGGACTTGGTGGTGGAGGAAGCCGTAACCGACCAGCGGTTACGTGAACCACCCAACGACAGAGAGGAGTCCAGCAATCCTCTCGCACATAACCATCCCTGCATGGGATTCAAACCTGCGAACCCACGCAGAGTAATTAGGGGTGCGGTGGCGAGCGTATTCCTAACGTTTAGCCCGTTGAGCCACACCGTCGCGCACAGACTCGATTAAGAGAAAAGGACTGTGTGCATAAAGTAGCCTAGTTAGACTCGTCCGTCGGCTCTAGCCACTACTGTCTGATCGTACAACCACGAGGCTGGAAGGCAGTTATGGTTCACCTGATTTCAATGAAACGTGAATGTCGGCATGTGCATACGGTATGGCATACCAGTACCGTACCGGTACGGCCAACCGTACACTCGTACAGCCAGGGGCGGATTAAGCACATTTGGTGCCCTAAGCACTGGAGACTTTGGTGCCCCCTATGTGCAATTTAATAATAAAAACAATAAACCACACAGGGTGTTATCCATTAAAAAAATCACAACCAACAGTAAATAAAACAACCTTTACGAACATTTTTAGATTTTTTAACTGGTATATATAGCCGATATATATAGCTATCGGCCGTTTACTGCCGATATGATATATCGGTAAACACACAATATCGGGCCGATATATCGGTAGAGCTCTAATCCTGGGGGGGGGGTGCGCGTGTGACAATATTGATTCATGCCTCCAGTCTCATCGTGAATCGAAATACCAAATGATACAAGTCACAACTGTAGTTTGAAATTTTACCGGTTCCCAGTAGTCTACCTCAGAGTATTTCAAGGCTGCTAGGTTGAAGGACCGCAAAAACTTTTGAGGAGGTCTCTCGGGCCGCAAGTCGAGGAAAACCCAAAAGTGATCGAAATATCGCGAGCTTACTTACTTTAAATTTAATAAACAACAAGAGTTTACCGTTCTAACCGACTATTGTTATGTTGCATGGGTGACGTTCTTTTAAAGAAGATATATAAAGCCTTAAGGAAAATTAATTTCCTTATGTCACCTTTCTTGTGACACATTTTATTACGAATTGTTATATTTGAGTAATTTAAAAACTTGCAGCGTGAGCAAGCTTAGTGCCATCGTCAAATACCAACCAAGTCCGTCTAAGTTCGTATTCCGGGAACTAGCTAAAAAAAAATGGATTGGGCGGCTTTAAGTCTGCTCTGCGTTTCGTCACTACTGTCACATGGCCTACGCTTGAAAACTGAGAAGTGTTTTTACTAAAATAAAGTCACAGAGCGTTAAAAAAAGGGTTTGAATCTCGGGTTACCAATCCTAGTTGGAATAGGTAAAAAGAAGTCAAAATCATTCTTCTATTAGATACAAATATACGCTAAAATTGTTCTGTGAGCCGCACGGAATGTATCAGCATGATAGGGTTTGGTCCACTCTGGTCTACCTTATCAAAAAAATCCCGACTTCGCTGACCACAAGATCATTGAAATGCGATCGTGCAACCGTCACATAGTGTAAATAGTTCATTGGTCCAATTGTTGAAGAAAAAAGAACTTTTTTTAAACAAAAATGCAGCAACAAGGAGAATACTTGAAAGAAAAAACAACAACAATTTAAGAAAACGACTCATAGGCCAATTTCGTGTCCAATGAGCAAGTTTCAACGTTTATTTTTATTGGACCTTTCCCCGACCTTAGACCCCCGAAAAATTCTTCCTATACGATACAGTTGCAAAACTTTCGGGCCTCATTTTAAGAGTGGTTTCGCGAGTTGGCGCCTGTAAAATGAGATATGTGTTTCAAACCATCATTATGATTCATCGCATAAAACAACCTGTTTTTTAAAAGTACCGGTAAAGAATTTTATCCTAGTCTATCACAGCTATTTATACACCATTTTTTTTATTACTGCAATTAAATTAAAACTCCTAGGAAGACAGAGTGATCATTGAATTATCTGCTTTATATTAAAATTTCCGAAACACAACTGAAAACTAACGAATAGAGTTCAAAAATGCGATAATGTTTACGACCACGCCTGAAAATCTGTCTGAGCGGATGCGAAAAAGGTGCATTGTTACGTCACTTTTTGCCTCTTGCTGATTGGCCAAAGTCACGATGTAAACAAGGATGCTCGGGGAAAGGTCCATAGAGAAGATTAACATGATACTTGAAGACGAAAAATAAGCGAACATTTTGAAGTTTTAGTCGTCTGGTGAACTCGTAATATTTTAATAAACATCGATAAACTATATAAAATTCTGCTCTAAAATTTCTGTGGTGCCCTCTTTGCTTGGTGCCCTAAGCACGTGTTTATATTGTTTAATAATGGTTAACTCGCCGCTGCGTACAGCCGTAACATACCTATCCAGACGAATGATAAATCACGCGGGCTCAACCATTTATTTCAATCCATTCCTCGATTCACCATATTCTACTAGACTAGGGGTGGGCAACTTCTCCAGTCGGCGGGCCGGATGTGGGAAAATGAAGTCCTCGGTGGGCCGGATTATAACATGAATAGTATTCAATATCTTAATCACATATTTATTAGCTATTGCAAGAAAGAAAGTTATAAATCGTGTTTAAAGTAAAGTTTAAACTTTAAAAAAAATAGAGACCCAAAAACACATAATGAATTTATCATAATGTACTAAAAGTGTAATAATGAAATATCATGAGACTGATGTACAGTCAGCAGGCCGGTCAAAATCTCTTCGCGGGCCGGACCCGGCCTGCGGGCCGTATATTGTCCACCCCCAAACTAGACTATCCGTATCTCCCACTCGTTTCATGAGTGACTGTATGCTGGGTACCGGGTACGATCAGACGGTATCGGTATCGCACGAGTGTCCGGCCAACTGAGCATTTAAGCAGCATTCTCCAATTCAATTACCTTCTACACGTAAAAACAAATTTTTTGAATTTTCGTATTCAATTCTATATTCTCTTATCATTATTTTGAATATATATATTACTTCCAGTTGAAATTGTATCATGGAGAATTTATAGAACATTTGCATATTAAATTTACTGAATATTGCTGAAGAAAATCAGTAATGAGTTAGAAACCCAGGAAAAACCGTTTGTGCGCGTAGGATTATGCATGACAACGTTGGTCCCAAGCCAAAGCAAAATTTCTCAAAATAAAAGCGCGTGACAACGATGGGCCACCTTTTTATTTTATTTTCATTCACGTTTTTTTTTTTTTAAATTTGGTTTTTGCTTTTTTTATTTCGTTTTAATTTTTAATTTTTTTTTGCATTTTATTTAATTTTTTTTTTTTCACAACTATATTTTTGTTTTACTTTTATTTTTTTATTATTTTTTTTTTAATATTACGTGTGACAACAATGGGCCACTGTACTCATCTTTGCCACCTCAAAGTTTAAAGTCTGTTGAAGTCTGTTTCATCGTGTTTATTTCACATATATTCCATGGCACTACATTTGACAGACGTTTTAATTTTGGTAATGTTCCTGAATTCCCTCGTTTCATACCAACTTAACTTACTGGTATGTCATGATGCAGATTGTTGTCATTTTTTGTGCCATGACTGAGTTTGAGACCAATTGGCTTATCTGACATCAAAACCCCATTGAAGTCTAGGAAGGTTATGCACTAACTTATGTTAGAAAATACTTACATGCTGCTTTAATTTTAATATTGAAACTTCCTCCTGCAAGAAACATGGCCGTGAAATCCAATCTTAACATCGCCTGATTTATTTGACGAGGAAAATGGATTTTAGATACACAGGGACTCCTCGGATCACATTCACTTTCATTTGCTGCGGACTTGATTTCTCCTTTCAAGTCATATATGTAAAGTTCACAACTCTTCCCGTTCACCCATGAAATTCCTGAAATTAACGGAATGAGAGTCAAGTTGTTCTTGGAATAACCGGTAGGAGAATTTCAAAAGGAAAGATCATTCAGAGAGATTTTGAATTTGTATCTCATTCGAATCCTTCTACAAGTAAGGAAATAGGTTCAGAATTAGG